GTGTGCAGGAGGCAGCTGATCGATGTTTCTCTCTCGTCGATGTTTCTAACTATCTCTCTCCCTTCCTCTCTGTAAAAAAATCAATAAAATATATTTAAAAAAAACCATATTGTCCATGCAAACACCCGTGCGTGAACATTTCTAGCAGCTTTATTCATAACCCGACCTAGAAATGTCCTTGAACCAGGGTCCCTGCACTCGTGACTGAACAAGCCCTACTCCACCCACACAGTGGAACGCTACTTCCCGACACACAGCAGCATGGATGGATCTCCAGTGCAGTATGAAGATGAAAGAAGCCTGACACCCAAAGCTGCACACTATGTGACCCCATTTAAATGATGTCCTGGAAAAGGCAAAACTATAATGATGGAGATCAGATCAGCAGTTTCCAGGGAGTAGTGATCGGGGTGGGGATAGCCTATACAGGGGGCAGGAGAGAACGTTTTTGGGGTGAGGGAACTGTTCTGTTTCTTGACTATGGTGTTGGCTACATAACTGCAATTGTCAAAATTTACAGGACTGTGCACCTAAAAAATGTGAATGTTACTGTATAGAAATTATACCTCCATATACCTGGTTTTAAAATGAAATTCTTTCAAAAGTAAATGCGCCGAACCGGTTTGGCTCAGTGGATAGAGCATCAGCCTGCAGACTGAAGGGTCCCAGGTTCGATTCCGGTCAGGGGCATGTACCTTGGTTGCGAGCACATCCCCAGGGGCGGGGGGGGGGGGGGGGGGGCGTGCAGGAGGCAGCTGATCGATCTCTCTCATCGATGTTTCTAACTCTCTGTCCCTCTCCCTTCTTCTCTGTAAAAAATCAATAAAATATTTAAAAAATAAAAATAAAATAAAATAAAAAGTAAATGAATAAATAATTGTGTGTGAGGAGACTAATGGAGAAGGTTATATACGTACGAGGACTCTAGAAGAGGACAGGGAAAGGAGGGGACAGTTGACAAGAATTTAGATCTTGGAGTCAGCAGACGGGGGACCCCATCCCAGCTCCAGCCCCAATTATTGTGGTCTATGGGGGGAGGGGTTTGCCTCTGCCACATCTGTAAAACAGGGCGTTTCACATCTGCTCTGCAGCTTAGGATGGAAACATCTCAGAATCCCGGGTGTAAAGGCTTTCTCTGCTCTCCAGAGGGTCTGAAGGAGACAACAAGTGAAGGCAATGCTGGTGGGAGAGTGCTGAGAGCATGGGCTTTGGAGCCAAGAGACAGGGCTGTGTTCATTTATTTATTTTTAGTTTTTATTGATTTCAGAGAGGAAGGGAGAGGGAGAGAGCTAGAAACATCAGCGATGAGAGAGAATCACCAATCAGCTGCCCCCTGCACAACCCACACCGGGTGATCGAGCCGCAACTTAGGCACGTGCCCCGGCCGGGAATAGAACCGTGACCTCCTCGTTCATAGGTCCACGCTCAACCACGGAGCCACGCCAGCCAAGCATGAGCTGTATTTAAATCCCAGCTCTGCCTCTTGCTTTCCAGGTGGCCTTGGGCTAGTTCCTTATCCTCAGTTTCCTCATCTGCAAAATGGGGACAACAATGATAGCAATCGCATGGGGTTGTCCTGAAGCCTTGGGAATACTTGGCACGTGAAGTGTTTGGCACCAGGCCCAACACAAAGTAAAAGCTCAAGGAGAAAGGGAGGGGAAAAGGTTTTCCTACATGGTCTGCTCCTGGCCTGAATGACCAAACCCTGGCCACTTCTTTCTGAGTATAACTCCTGCAAGTCCCCTCCAAGACACACTGCAGGGCCTGCCACACACACACACACACACACACACACACACACACACACACACACACACACAGAGTTTCTAGGAACTAACTGTTCCTACAAACAGTAACCCAACCAACTCACTGTTCAGCCTGATATTTGTCCTTCACATTTTCCCATGGTTGTCTTCTTCTCACCTTTCAGGTCTCAGCTCAAATGTGTCCACCCCAGAGAGTCCTTCCCCAACCATCCAGCCTAAAGCTACGTGTCTTACACCAGCCAGTCACATACGAGGCAGGGACTAGAAAATATGGCCCTTGGGCCAAATGAGCTACCACTATTGTTTTGTTGTTGTTAATCCTCACCCCAGGATATCTTTTCCATTTATTTTTAGAGAGAGTTGAAGGAAGGGAGGTAGGGGGAGAGAGAGAGAAAAAAACACACACACCGACGCAAGGGAAACACATTGATTAGTGGCCTCCCGCACACACCCCATGGGGCAGGGATCCAACCTGCAACCCTGCTACTTGCCCTTAACCAGGAATTAAACCAGCGACCCTTCAGTGCAAGGGTGGATGCTCTAACCACTAAGCAACATCAGCCAGGCAAGCTGCCACTATTTTTGTAAATAAAGTTTTACTGGAACACAGTCACACCCATATATATTCTCCAAGGCTGCCTTTGAGCTACAACAACAGACCAGAGTAGCCAGGAGAGAAACCAGCTGGCCTGCAAAGCAGAAAATATTTACTTTCTGGCACGTTACAGAAAAGTTAGCAGACTCCTGCTCTATCACCCCAGTCTGTTTCTTCTCGCTGTCATTATTGCGTGAGGTTATTTTGTTCCTTTCTATATTTGTTTATTGTCTGTCTTCTACACTAAGTGGAATACAAAAATGAAATCGGCTTTGTTCCCTGCTGAATCCCCAGTGCAAATACGTTCATTGTGAAGTGAATGCATCCAGTAGGTTTGAGGTGTGGGTTTCTGGCCATGTCTTTCTAGAATGTGGAAGGAGGAAGTGCCTTTACAAATCCTCTAAATAAAACGGTGTTGTGAGAAAGGGGTACAGGCACTGTGTGTAGCACACACCCCCATTGAAGGCAGTGAGCGAGCCAGATCTCTGAGCTGAGAGGAGAACCCTGCGGTCTAACAAGATAGAGCTACTACAAAGCTCACCTCTTTGCAAAAGAGGTGGGAAATGCAGGACAATGAAATCCTTGCACAATCCTGAACTGGATCCCAACTTGGAAATGAATGTCATACAGGACAGTATCGAGGCAATTGGTGAAACTGGAACGTGGGCTAGAGATTAGACAAATTGTCACAATGTTAACTCTGTGGTTGTGATTACCACATTATGGTCACATGGGAAACCGTCCTTGACCGTGGGGGAAGCATGCTGAGTATTTAGGAATGAAGGGGCCACTGTGTCTGCCACTTATATGGTTGGGACAGAGACAAAGATATACGTAGAGAAAACGACAAAGATCCAGTGGCTGTGGCAGAACGTGAACAATGGGTGGGTGAATCTAGGTAAAGATGATTATGTTCAGAAGTGCATTGCACTATCTTGCAACTTTCCTGCGGGTTTGAATTTTTTCCCTCCAAAATAAAAAGGTGAAAAGGAAAAAGGGAGGGAGCAAATAAATAAAGCAGCCGCTTCTAGGCTACATTCCCGTTTCTTCTTCTTCCCTTGGTAGCGAGGTCCTTGCTCCTCTTTGGGAACTGTGAAGCCCGAACGAGCCTCTGAGTGGAGACACGATGCAGAAGTTAGAGTGTTTCAGGTGAGTATCGCACTTGACAGCGAGTTTGCTGAGTACCTACTATGTGTCAGAATTCCGAGCAGCTTCTGCATCCGCTCCCCATGGGTTTGGCCGAACTTTTCCCCAGTGCATCCGTGGAGGTAAGCCTTGGTTTGGGTATCTTTGTTGGCAAACCTTACCTGACGTTCCTGGATCCATGGGTGGTCTGCAGGTCACTCATTTGTGAGCTCAAATTCCACAAAATAAGCAGCTCTTTTAGGGGACTTCCATATTGGGAAGAGCACGAACTAGAACACAAATTCCTTTATTGTCATGCATGCTAAGTTTGAGAAGAGTTGCTTTTTCATGTCTTCACCCTCCCTAAAGGAAGGTTAGTTGCTGAATTCATGAATGGGCCCCTCCCCCAACGCCGTGCCTAACACAGTAAAGGTGTTTTGAGTAAATGGATGGACCATCTCAGGACATAACAAGAGCTACATTATTGGGAAAATTACCAGGTCCAGACATTTTTTCTAATGTCATGCCAAGCTGCATTGGAGTCTGAGGCAAACGGAAAAAATCAGGAATGCAGATCCTGCCTTTATTTAAAATGATATTTTGCTTATTGTGGATTTTTCATTAATTTTGATTTTTAAAAAACATTGCATTGAAATATGATTTATTTTGATTACTGAGGGGGTTTTTTGTCCCCCCTTAAATTTTGTACCTGAGGCAAGTGCCTCCCTCACCTTAGTCCTAGCCCTGATTATTTATTTCCAACATGCAATCCACACCATAGCGTTAATGCCTCATCACAATGCTCTGAGAAGATACTACAATCATCACCATTTTACAGTTGAGGGAACTGAAGCACAGAGAGGTTCAACTGCGCCCCAAGTCCCACAGCACGGAGGAGGAAAATTTGGACTTGAACCCAAGTTTGTGTGTTTTTCGGCTCAGAGCCTACTCAGTAAAGTAAAACAATAACCTAAGTTATGAGTTGGGTTTTGAGTCGAGGAATCAGAAGGTCTAGGCTTGAGTCCCACCTCTGCCCCAGGCTCCCCTGAGCCCTACATTCACACAGACCTCAGTTTCTCCATCTGAAACTAGACTTAAATATTCTGCTCCTGCCCTATCCCCCCGCCCCCCCGCCCCCCAACACAATTTACCAGCGTTATCTCTCCTGATGGAGCAATAGCACACGCTGGAGAAACAAGCACTGACCCAGCCAGAGCTGCTAAACTGGTGGGGAGCTCAGAGACCCAGGAGAGGGTTGGGCCGAGTGGGGAGATCCTGGGGACTACAGTGAGTGGCCCTTCCCCCTCCAGAAAACCCCAACCTAGATTTTGGGCAGATGCCAGTCTTTTATTCTGAAGCTGAGGCCACAACCTATGAGGTAATCTTTGGAGCTGCATTCGAGGCGGAGTCCCATTGGCCGGCTGGCCAAGCCCCGCCCTGGGTTCCCGGTGCCCCGCCTTCCCCAAAGCCCTTAAAAGCGCAGTCCCCGCCTCGGCAGCCACTGGACACCTGCATCTGCCTGCAGACTGGAAGCAGGTGAGACGCACAAGGGAAGGACTTCAGCTGCGTGGAAGGAGGGGTGGCTTGGGGGACCCGGCCCCTCGGGGATGGGGCTGGTTTGCAGGTCAGCGCGTGGACATCTGCCCAGAAAGCGACAAAGACGGCGAAGTTTGACGGTCTGGAAAGCAGAGACCAACCGGGCTGACTACCTGGGAGGTAAGTCCTGGGGACGTGCCACGAGGTGAGGAGCCGGGATGAGTCCTGGGAGGTTGCGACCCCTCCCAGTGCCCCCCTTGCCATTCGGAAGCGCCCGGGGAAGAGGAGCGGAGAGGAAAGAAATTTTTGGAAGGCGGGTTCCCCAAAGTCAGAGGAACGGGGAAGGCGGGGGAGTGGGTTGAGCCGGGAAGAGAGGAAAGTTAAGTTTTCTTCAGCCCCGAGGCTGAAGACAGCTCTGCGAGGACCAGGGAAGAAAATTGCTATTTATTTCAGCACGGAGACTCCGGACAGCGCCTCTCGGGGTCCAGGGAGGGAACCGCGACCTGCTTCAGCACGCGCGTCTGGACAGCTCCCAGCAGGTCCCGGCGGCCTCATTGCAGCCACAGGGCACGGACAGCTCCCCAGGTGGCAGAGAGCCCTGCAGCTTGATGGGGGAACAGAGGATGGTCCGGGGTGTCTGACGCTTCTGGAGACTTGCCCCCCTCATTCAATAGATTTTTCAATGCATTGCTTTCCAGATGAGATGAAACGGCACACAGAAGTCTGTAATGCCCAACAGGTACGATGATCAAGCTGTAGGGCTGGGGGGGAATGGGTGCCGGCCAACATGACATGATTGTGCTCTCTCCAGACTTCTTTGAGAAACATTGGGCCAGTCATTTTACATACATTATGTCATGCCATCTTCAACTTCAGGACATGGGAGTTATTACACCCAGGTGACCGTTGAGGACACGGAGACCCGGAGAGGGACAGGTCAAGGGGTCTCAGGCCCAGGGTGAATCTGCAAGTCAACCCCACATCCTGCCCACTCCAAATTCCATGCTTCATGGGCGGGAGTTGGGCCCTTGGAGATCAGCTCCTTCCTCTCCCCAGGAGGACCAGGAATGGAAGACAGGAGGCGGTGGAGAAGCAAGAAGCCCATATGCTACAACTTGGCTCAGGTGAAGGAAAAGAGCTGGGTTGGGAGGTCGCAGACACAGGGCAAAGGGTGGCCAAGAAGACTGGAGCAGTTGTGGTCTAGTGCTGTGTGGAAGACTAGTGATTTTGTTGTTCTGGTGTACTATGACAACAAGTCACAGCTTCCTCATAGCGCGGACTCCCATCAACCTCCGCCTGCCATGGACAAGTAACTGTGGGGCGGGGGGAGGCCAGGAAGGAATCACTTCCACCCAGGGGAGTGAGCTGGCTAATCCCATGGGACAAGAGCCAGGGAGGGAGTAAAATAGGGGCATGCACCCCGTGATCACATAGCAATGTGCCATGCATGGCGTTGGCCATGTCACTCATATGCCCCCCACAGGCCTGAACATACAAAATACCTGACTGAACCCAGGGCCTTGGGAATCAACGAGGGGACGGTGTTTGAAGTTCTCTCTAGACCAGGATTCTACTAAGATTGGTCAATAAAAATTCCAGGAATAATTTATTTTTCTCCCACACCTCACCATCAGTTCCATGGACCAACTACAGGACAGGTGTAAATTTGTGCCTGGTAGGTGAGTTGTGGCATCGGCGAGGGGTCACCCCCAGTTCTCTGCGACACCCTAATCAAGTCGAGGACACCACATTGAAGTCATTCCGGCCTCAGAGCCTTGGTCTTTGCTGCGCCCTCATCTTGGAATGCTCTGCCTCCCCGAGCACCCCACGAGCTCTCTCTCCCTTCTTATCCCGGCCTCATTTCACCAAGGGAAACTTTCCTTGTTGCCTCACCACCCACCTCATCAAGCCTGTGTTATACACTCTCATAGACCTGGGATGTCTCCTCTCCAGCACTTGCTCCGATTATTGTTAACTGTTCACGGGACTGTCTGTCACCCCCATTACACTGTGAGCTCCATGAGGGCAGAGACTGCGTTTGTGTTTTTCACTGCTGTGGCCCCAGCACCTAACCAGGGCCTGGCACACAGCAGGCACTCAATAAACATTGGTTGAATCAATAAAGGCATCAGAATAAATCAGTATATTAATAAATGAGCTGATGGTTTCAGCACACACATGAAGATCCTGCTTCTCTTTGGTTTCCCCCACAGAGACACCAGAGGGTAGTGGGTGCTGCGGGTGTTTATTGGGGAGTATAATTAAATTTGTGGACACTCAAGGGCCAGCCAGCCAGCTAATAGCCCCAGGAGAGAGCCAAGCTCATTTAATTAGCAGTTATGAGGCATTGATTCCTCATTAGCTCTGGCAACCCCCGTCTCCCTTCTCAGCCCCAGACAAATGAAATTTTTCTCTCTCCAGGAGTACTGCCTCAGTGAGTTCATTAACAAGCAGAGAAAATATGATTGCAAGACACCTACATGCCAGAGGCACTTTGAGGATGTGGTGGGGAGAGGGGTTCAATGTCTGGATCAAGGCTAATTGTGAGAGTTTTTGTGTTGTATATAGATCTCCCTTTGGGAATGGAAGAGCTTTTAGATTTTTAAAAAAGGCACCCGGATACTGCCTTTTAGGGACCCCTAGGAAAGAGGAGATTCTGCCCTGGAATTTCTACAAATGTCTCCCCCTGGGCCCCTCACAGCCACTCCACATTAACCATTTCACACTGAACATCCAGTCCACCCAGCCCCCACCTCCCCTCCTTCCGTGTCCCCATCAGTGTGGCAGCGTCTCCACATCCCAGGGTCCCACCCCCCCTCATCCATTTCCCTAACCAGGTATTTGCCAAGGCAAGTCATTCTGGGCAAATCCAGCCTCTTCCCCAGCCCTCTGCCACCATCACTGCCTGGTTGTCCCTCCCCTCCCCCAAACACACACAACCGTCCATTTATTCTCCACATACAGTGAGGGGTTGTTCTAGAACACAAATCTGACCAAGTCCCACCTTTGTCTTTAACCCTTCCAAGACTCCCATTGACTGATGGATGAAATTCAAATTTCAAAACACAGCCTGGCTCATCCTGCTGAGAGCATCGCCTGCCATTTCCCCACCAGCTGCCCTTATCAACCGGCCCAGCCAGGAGCATCTTGGATTCCTCTAGGAAGCGCCCAGAGAATGCAGATTCCTAGGACCCTGCCAACTTCAATAAGCCAGAGGTGGGGTGGGCCCCAGCATCTGCATTTTGATGAGCTTCCCCACTGATTCTGCTTTGTTGTTGTTAATTCTCACCTGAGGATATTTTTTTCCATTGCTCTTCAGAGAGCGTGGAAAGGAGGGAAGGAAGGAAAGAGAGAGAAAGAGAGAGAGACATGGATGTGAGACATACATATTGACTCCCGTATGCACCCCCACTGGGGGGTGGGAGTGAACCTGCAACCCAGGTACATACCCTTGACCAGTAATCAAACCCAAAATCCTCTGGTGTGCAGGCTGACACTCTAACCACTGACCCACACCGGCCATGGCCCCGCTGATTCTTATTTAGGGGAATCCTTCCTTTGATTTAAAAAACAAAATGGCCCGCCGAACCGGTTTGGCTCAGTGGATAGAGCATTGGCCTGCGGACTGGAGGGTCCCGGGTTCGATTCCGGTCAAGGGCATGTACCTTGGTTGCGGGCACATCCCCGGTGGGGGGCGTGCAGGAGGCAGCTGATCAATCTCTCTCATCGATGTTTCTAGCTCTCTGTCCCTCTCGCTTCTTCTCTGTGAAAAGTCAATAAAATATTTAAAAAAAAAAAAAAATGGCCCAGCTGGTGTTGCTCAGTGGTTGACAATCGACCTATGAATCAGGAGGTCATGGTTCGACTCCTGGTCAGGGCACATGCTCTGGTTGAGAGCTCGGTCCCCAGTGTGGGGCATGCAGGAGGCAGCCGATCAATGATTCTCTCTCATCATTGATGTTTCTATCTCTCTGTCCCTCTCCCTTCCTCTCTGAAATCAATCTTATATAATAAAAGCCTAATATACAAATTGTTTGACCGGGAGTTTGACCAATCGCTATGACGTGAGCTGACCACCAGAGGCAGCACAGAACACGGTGGGCGTCTGCGATGCGGCGCTGGCAGCAGGTGGTAGTGGAGGTGCTGCTGGACCTGATGAGCCCCAACAAGTGCTGGACAGCAGTGCAATGGCAGAGCAGGTGAGGGGGTGGTGCCAGGCCGAGCGGGCTGCCTGGTGGGGGCTGTGGGGCTGCGAGGCTGGGGACACAAGCAGGGGCTGTGAGCCTGGGGGCGCGAGCTGGGGCCCAATCCCCACAGGCCACCCTGAGGGACCCCACCTGTGCATGAATTCGTGCACCAGGCCTCTAGTAAAAAATAAAAATAAAGGTATGTAAAACCCACCAACCTTTCATTTTTCCCAAAGACCTCTGGGAGGGGGCACCTCGTTTAATCTCACCTGTTTCAGCCTTCTCCCATCCATGCCCAGATCAGTGTTAGCACGTGATAAGTATTCAGTTGAGATAAATGCTGGGTCTGAGCTCCTTTGTCAGACACAAATATGAAGGCCACACACACCTATAAAGATGAGCCAGCATTTGCAATGGAGCTGAGGGCATCTGAACTGAAGGGACAACCCACTCAACTTTCTTATCACATCTGGTCACTATCCAATGGTCTTCATTTGGGATTTCATGAAAGTGGAGTCTCAGACAAGACGGTGATTCCAGGAGCAAAGGTACCAGAGAGTGAGGCAAAGAAGCAGGGATTGCCAACGTATGGGGATATGGTTCAATTACTCTAACAGACTCAAAGTAACAGTGGCTTCAGCAAAAGGGACATTTATTTTCTTCCCTTTGACTCAGCAATTCTGTGCCTAGACTCACACAGATGAGAAATTAATACCTACTTCCACAGAACGAAGGGAGGAAAGGAGAGAGGGAGGGGCCCATTTCAGAGGCCGGTCAGTCCTCTTGAGCAGTTGATTAAGTCCACACCTGGACTACTTCCCTTATCAGCTCTCATACTCAAGGGCCACTAGACACCTCCTTTAATTGTCCAAGAGCTAGGAGCCAGGCAACTAGGGGCAGCCCTATTGTCATGGAGTTCAGAAAATTATTCAAATGAACCAGTTTCAGGAAGCCCGGGAAACCTGGCTCACCCCACTGGCTTCTCCGGTTGCTGTCACGCTGTCCCTGCTGTAAGCCTGTGGCCTCTTCTTAGGAGCTCCAAGTAACAAAGGATTCTGCCTTTCTTCTATCTGAGTGTCACTGTGCTGTGTCCCTCCATCAAAACAATATTTAAACCTTGCAAACACACAGAGCATAAAATTTGCATGTAACCTTTTTAAAGTGACAATTTCGCGACATTTCATACTTCACATAGTCCTACAACCATCACTACTAGGTGATTAATTCCAGAACATTCCATCGCCCCCCCAAAAAACACAGATCCTGTTAAGCAGTCACTCCCCACGCCCCTCTTCCTGCAGCCGCTGGCAACATTAACGTGTTTTCTGTCTCTGTGGGTTTGCCTGTTCTGGGCATTTCATATCAGTGAGACCACAGTGTGTGGCCTTTGGTGTCTGGTTTCCTTCACGGAGCAGCGTGTGTTCCAGGTTCATCCATGCCATAGCGTGTGTCCATGGTTCATTCCTGTTGTATAGCTGAATCACAGTACATCAGATGGATGTGTTAGGGTTTTAAAAAACCCAGATACTATGATACTATTTTAACAGCTATAGATATATTAGCTCCTATGAGGTAGGTACCATGATCATTCCCCATTTTATAGGAGAGGAAACCAAGGCTCAGAGAGCTGAAGCAAGTTGCTCAAGGTTGCACAGCTCGTGGGTGGCAGAGCCAGGACTTGACTGTTGGCAGTTTGCATACAGCGTCTGCATTTCAACCACTATCTTACACCCCTCTCATAGTTTGATACGCACAGACAATGTGGCAATTGAGACATGTCCTTCAGTCGTTTCCACAGGGGAGGAGGCCAAGGTGCGGACAGGAGAGGAGACTTGTGCTCACATAGCGAGTCATCCCCAGCCAGGGCTGGAGACAGGTGGCGAGGGCAGAACTCAGATGCTGCATTGTCCAGGGAGGGTGGGGGTCTGCCAGAGAGGGTGCTGATTATATCCTGCACCTTAATGGGTCCTTCAAAAGAGAGTGGCTTGGGTTTCCATGACAACAGGCAGGCAGCATCACAAGGAGATAGCTGAGTTTCCTCCCCCAACCCATATCTGCCTCAGGAATCTGTGCTCTCCATGCCTGCCTTTCTGGATCCAGAGAGCAGCTATGTGGGTGGTCAGAGCTCACACCTGCTGGTGCACTCAGAGACCCTCTCCCCAGCCCTGCCTCAGCCAAGCGACAGCGGGATGGACAGAAACAGAACACACTGGGCACGTGTGCAAAGTGAGGCAGAAGGGATTAGGCAGAGCGGGGAGTTGCCCCGTTTTCCCAGTAACATCATGAATCAGCAAGGGGATGAAGAAACCTCTGAGATGGAAACTGTTAACAGGACAGGACAGGACAGGGCAAGACTCTTTCACTGACAGTGATCAGTCAAGTTACAGAACGTGCTCCTCAGGGCAGAGAAGGGAGGTTTGACAGAGAGCAGGGGAGGCAATAATTGGAGAGAAAAATCATCCTCATTTGATCCCACCTGGCCCAGACTCAGTGATAAACCAGTCTGGGTCAGGAGAAGGAAAGCATGAAAGGGTTGTGAATATCACTGACTTCCATGGGAGCAGCTATAAAGGACACGATTGGAACAATGAAAAGTCTTGGAATCTGGATGGTGGATTAGATGATCGGGCTTATCATTATGACATTTCCAATTTTGATCATTAAACTGGTCTGTGAGAGAATGTCCTTGTTCTTTGGAAATCTCACTGAAGTACTGTATTTAAGAGTAAAGGTTGTAAAGACTCCAAATTACTTCCCCAAATTATTCATAAAACATTATATATACTACATTGTGTGTGTGTATACATATATATATGCATTACATTTTATTTTATGTATCTTATACATATATGTAATATCTATAATACATTATATTCTGTTATAAATTATACTAGAGGACCGGTGCATGAATTCGTGCACAGATGGGGTCCGGCCGGCC